AGCTAAACTTACACACACACAGAAAGAGAAACAAAGAGAAAGAGCGAAGGAAACAATACATATTTTCATTTAGTTCTTGCCAATGGCAAGTGAATTTAACTGTGGATAATAATACCAGTCTAAGTTAAGTTACGGTACTCTTATTACTTAGGGAAAATGCTTAGGTAAAACAAATTATGGCTCAATTAGGCACCTTCTACACTGCCATATAATCCAGATTATCAAAACAGATAATCCACATTATCTGCTTTGAACTGGATTATATGAGTCTACACTGCCATATAATCCAGTTCAAAGCAGATCATCTGGATTTTATATGGCAGCCTAGAAGGGATCTTAGATGTGATGTGTTTAATAATGTTTAATGTTTTATTAGGGGAAGGTCAATTTTAATGTTTACACTGTTTTTATTGAGGGCACTGAATTGTTGGCAACACTGTGAACAGCCTTTCATCCTCTTTGGAGTTGAGAAGGGTGGTATACAAATATCGCAAATAAATAAATAAATAAATAAGCTCCATAATCCATTAAGGCAGACCCTGAACATTTGTGAACTCAGTCCTAGGGTTCCTTGCTTGACCTTTAAAAGTAATAATAGAGAGTTCTTCAGTCCTCTCCAGATATGGGAAGGGGCTCCCTCTTTCCGTTCCACTTTCCCATAGCCTCATACATAAAAGGAGATTATATAGAAACACTTGCCTAGGAAAACCCTATAAAATTCATAGGTTTGCTACAAGCTGACTAGGTGATATACACATGGGAATATAATTAGTTACCAGTGGAGCTCTCATGTCAGAATTGACTCCATCTTTTAGTCAAAAGAGAGTCTAATTAAGGATTGGATCTGGCACAGTGGAGAGCTCCTTTCATGTTCTGAGCAATACCTGGCACAGATTTATCACTCAAGGATGTGAAAACCACCAGATATTAAGGGTAACCCATAACTTGCTGCTACAAGATATATTGATAGATATCTTTTAAAAAGGATTGGAAAAATCATGAAGTTATGAACAATGATTATGGGCCCTTCCACACAGCCCTATATCTCAGAATATCAATGCAGAAAATCCCACATTATCTGAGTGTGGACTCAAATAACCCAGTTCAAAGCAGATATTGTGGGATTTTTCTGTCTTGATATTCTGGGATATAAGGCTGTGTGGGTCCTCATGAGCACAAGTGGGAGAGAAAGTGCTCTGATAGCTTCTCAAGCCTTGGGTTTTATGTGGCCAGCTACTGCGACTGCATCCCTCGCACCACTGATACAGCTAGTAAGTTTTGCAGAATTCGGAATTGTTTACATTTCTCACAGCAAAACAACAATTCTTCACATTCCCTCTGTTTCTTTTTTTTCTTTTAGAGGGCATTTGATCCCAAATCCTCTTGCCAGCTTCTGTGTAACAGCAATGAAAAAAGAGCCCTTTCTTTCAGTATTCCTGGTATTTACAACATTGCTGAATGACATGAATGGGTACATAACTTTCTTGCCTCTGGATTGTTGTAAATTTTTCAGGCTGTGTGGCTATGTTCCAGAAGCATTCTCTCCTAATGTTTTCCTGCATCAGACCTCACAACCTCTGAGGATGCTTGCCACAGATGCAGGTGAAATGTCAGGAGAGAATGCTTCTGGAACATGGCCACACAGCCCAAAAAACTTACAACAACCCAGTGATTCCAGCCATGAAAGCTTTTGACAACTTCCTGCCTCTGCTTTGCAAGGAAAGGAAAGGAAGGAGAAACTCTGGAGAAGTTGCAATCCAACATTCAGTTAGATAGGCTAACATATTCTTGAAGCATGTACACACATACAATAGCGAAAGTAAGCAATCAGTTTGCTCGACAGAAAACTCTTAATGGTAGAAGACTATGCAGCAATACTTTTGTCAAATGCAGAAAGGAAAAGGGGAGTATCATCTGAGTATATCTTTCTACTCAGTACTTCTGAGAGGCCACCTAACACCCTTGCATCAAAGTAGAATCCAAACATGGTTTACATTCTAATAAGTTTGTTTTCAGACACAATTCAAAATGCTGGTTATGATCCATAAACCCCTATATGGCTCAAGTCCAGGTTATTTAGCAGAGAGTATTTGCTTGTATAATCCAGATTATCAAAGCAGATGATCCACATTATCTGCTTTGAACTGTATTATCTGAGTCAACATTACCATATAATCCAGTGCAAAGCACATACTCTGGATTTTATATGGCAGGGGCCCAAGTCTACCCTAGCTGAGATAAGCAATTGCATTCAATCCTCTATCTACTCCTCCTTGGAAAGAAAAAAAGGACGCTAGTCATGGTGGAAGGATAACAGTTGCTGAAAGTAAACTTTTCAAATATCTTGATTTGGCAAGGAAAGTCCTGTTTATTTCTTCAGTTTTTCAGTTGCTTTCAAAATGCCCCAGTTTGTTTGCCCTCCTTCCACTTCCCCCTTACTTTCTTTGCATCTTCTCTCTAGCCTGTGTATTCTTCCTCAATAATAATGTTCATCATATTGGCAGCACTTTGATGTTGTTTGGCCTCATGTCTATTGATGTTCATCTGTGAAATGTTGGAGGGCATGTGCACATGGAAGCCAATGTGTTCTGGATGCCACTCCTACTTTAAAATTCTGTGATTGAGGCTGGACAATAGCCCTATAAAAGCCTCGTCTGGAAGCTGCCCAAGACACTATTGGTTTCAAACATCCAGTCCATCTTCCAAGATTTCATGATAACATACCAGCATACCTGAGAGATCCTTTAGGATCAGGATAACCAACACATCACCATGTAGCTCTTTCCCAGGGAGTTAAAAATGATACAATAAAGCTACGATTGCTCCTCCCTACCAAATCACCTAAGGCCATTGGGATCCAAGTTGTGGAAGCCTGCTTAGGCCTCACAATTAAGCAGAAATCAATTGATGACCCCTGGAGCTTGCTAGCCTTGCTTACTGTTTCCTCCAGTTGACTTGCCCTACCTGAAAATTTAAACTCTGCCAAGTGGCAATGAAGCAATATCACCCTTTAGGTTTATTGTACAGGTAGGGCCCCCCAAAAATAGACTAGTAGGACCTCATCACAAAGCTCAATGGATTCRCCACACATTATGGCAAATCCATGGGGTCCCGGCAAGGAGAACCTGTCGTTTCATGCCCTGCATTGCGTGACTTATCTGGGACCACACTGTGTGGGGAAAAGTGTCACCGCCTGGCACCCCCCCCCCCCATCCTGAAGACAACACGGGAAGCCTCCTGTGTTGCTGTAACAGCGGCATATACTGCTTGCTCTTTCTTTTCCCGACAGAGCCCATTCAGAAATACATGTGCATTATGTAATGGGCTCTGTCGGGAAAAGGGAGCACAAGTGGAATACAATGGGGAAAGGAGCCTGTCTGCTAACGTAGAAAGATGGAATATAAGAAAGTACAGCATATGTGGCAGCATCTTAAGCTAAGTTCTCTGAATCTAGCTGAACCCAGGTTCCAGTCTGGTCAACCATTTTCATGTCTGGTTAAACTTCAAAACAGTACAAAGTATTTGGTTAACTTTTTGGAATTGGGATGGGGTTACACTGTATCCCGGAAATCCTTCAACGACCTAAATCAAAACCAGATTTTCCCAGCCTGCTGCAAAATTTCAGCAATGGGTAATATATTCACAATAATAACTGAGGCCATCGAATAGCAAATTGTGGTGCTTTATGGTGCAGAGGGATGCTAGTTTCCCCCTGCAACCTCAAATCACTGTCAGAATGTGTGTGTGGTGGCAGGGAATCATCTTCTCTTCCTGACACAAGAGGAAGGGAATAGCAAACCTCCACAACTGGGAGAGTGTGGGTGGCAGTAGCTGCTTCCACTGCAAGGGCCAGTTCCAGAGTAGTGGGTGGCAGTGGCAGCCATCAAACATGCGTGCATGGCCACTTGTGGTCCATGTCTGTGTGCTTCCTACTCTTTCAACAGAGGGATAACAACAACAGAGAATGCATACACCAGTTGAAGGGAAGGTTTGGCTATTTCTGGTTCTTTTCAGTTTTCCATATTTTAAGTTTCCCTCCCTTTTTGTTTAATTGGCACACAAATCAATATATACATTTTAAACATATTTTTCTTAAAATATATGTTTATAGACTTATTTCATCAAAATGGACTCATTTCCAACCACATTTCTCAAAATATCCCTTTCTAGGTATACTTTAGCACATTTCTTATTGAAAACAGCATCACAGCACATAGGGAAGCAGAAGATCCTCAACATAATTTACATTCTAGTCCACACATTCACTCAGGAGGTTCAGCTCAGGTGACTTCACATCTGAATTCATAAAGATGGTCCTCCAGCATTTCTATGCACAACACGCATCAGCATATGCACAACCTCAGACAAATGTCTGGATGATGTTCTTTTTAATTGTTCAATCCCCCCTCCCCTCAAGCATCCATCAAAGGTGAACCCCATCCTGTTATCAAGTTCTAGCCTGCAAATAAGAAAAGCTACCCTTCCTATTGTCGCAAGCTGAAACCTGGTTGCCCATGTGACAGATATATTGGATGGTAGCTGTGCTGTGTGGCCACTACCATCAATTGTTGCAAAGTAATCTCCTTTTGCAGCCCAGCCAGGGCAGTGCTTGGCCAGGTGAATCATCCCAGTAGTTCAAAGAAGGTCCAGGAAACAAGAGTGAAAAGACCTTCATGCGAAAACAATGTTCAGCACGTCGTCAAACACCATCAACAAAGAAAACCAAGCTGCCACAGCTCACAACTCCTGATCGGTTCAACCCTGAGCATACAATTCTTATCAGTCAAAAAGGGACAAATCAGGCTAGACTTTACATAAAATGTAAGCAGGGAGACTAAAAATAATAATAATGTTATCTCAGGCCAGCATCCAAACAAGCTGTTTCCAACCACATTCATTCTAAGGTCCCTTACTGTTGTTGTTGTTGTTGTTGTTATCATCATCATCATTATTATTGTTATTATTTAAAAAGACAGATTGGGATGGACTGTTTTACTGACCTTGCTCCATCACTTCTTCTTGGGATGAGAAGTGGCTGTCACCATGGAAGGGATGTGGTACAGCTATACCAGGGAGTCAGTGAGGTAGGAAAGCAGCACCGATGTCCTGCTTAATTCCAACACTGGCTCGGGGGAGATCCAGGGAGCTGCCTGGGAATGAAGCACCTTGCAGGTGAAGCCAAAGCTCTCCGGATGAAAAGACGGTCTGACAGGTCCTTCTATAAGCACTCCCAGCCCTTAGTGCCTGGCCTGCCTCCTCCTGAACCTGAGCCCCGCCTTCTCCCCTCCAGATCCTGCATCAGATTTGGCTTCTCATGTTGTGCCACTGATTTCAACTGGATGGCCGTTGGGCAAGACTGGCTGGAAATTCTCATCATCCTGGTACAGAGATGGTTGTAAAAGTTACCTGAAAAAGAAGGAAACAGACAAACGAAAAAGCCCAAAGAAGAGTTGCCAAACGAGTTCATACTTGACGTATCTATGTATATAAAAGCACACATGCATAGTGCCGAGCTAAAAACTCTAAGAGTTATGCAAATAATTTTATCAAGATTAATAAGATAAATAAAAATAGAAAATACTCTCCCCCTACCCATCCATTTAAAAAACAGAACAAAGGGGGGATATAAATGTAAGCATCAAACAAACTAATTCAACTGCTGGGAGCAAAGCAAAATTACTGTGGAATAATGATGCTCAAACACATTTGTCTTGATAGGTCAATGCTATTTAACTGTATGTTCTTCCATTGTATGTATTTGGAATGGGTGTTTCATATTAAGCACGTGGTTAATGTTGTGGCAGAATCTGACTTTTATACCATTTGGAGTTTCTTGATGGACTTTGACATTTGACCTCTCCAGGAAACTATGATTTCAAAAATATATTAAATAAGGTTTTATTCTTAGCGTTGAGTAGCAATTAAACATTTAGTCACTTGGGGAATATCAACTGAAATCAGTGAATCTAAATGACTAACAGGCCTCATTCATCTCATTAAGTTGAAGGAATGGAAAACAAAGATAGGATTTAACTGATGAAGAAGATGGTGAAGAATTTCCCAGCACAATTCATCCTACAGTAAACTATCAAAAGAAAATGCAAATAGTAAGATAAATAGTAACATCGAACACACTTTACAGAAGCAAATACACTATGAAACCAGAGTCAATATTGTTCTTTGTAGACAGTTGGTTAGGATTCCAAATGCCAGAAAGATAGTTCTACAATGGAGTCCTATTGAACAGTAACAGAATCTCTATATTAGTCTGATAATCTCCCACTGATAAAACCAGAGATTTATCTAATACACATTTCAGGTAACATGAGCCATATCCTGCAAAACCAGCATCTAAATGTGGAACGGGTTGGCCCTGAGCACCAAGTGGGAAACTACAGATCTAAAATATTTTTCACAACATCTCAGTGATCCTGTATTCTGCTTTGTGTGTTCTGATTTCCGTTTTAGAAACTGCTTCTCACTACATTGAACCCAACTGTTTTGTTCTCTACCTCCATCTATTTCGCTGCCTTGTACCACTAGGGGTCAGTAGAGAGCTTGTGTTGGTTCAGGACTCAGTGGCATTCCATTCCTTCAACTTGTTCCTGATGGATGAGGAAGGAGGACTCGGGGCTGCCTCATTCATTAGGCCTTTTCGGCACAGTGCCTAAGGCTTATGAAAAATTTAAGGCCTATGAAAACAAGATTGACAAATACAAAATGTACAAAGATTGGGAAGAAAAACAAACATTCAACATACATGTAATTTTACTTCAATTTTTAAAAAACAGATTTGCACATTTTGAGGTCCATAGAGGCTGATAGGACAATTTTGTTTTTGGAAAGAGGCCTATCTGTCCCTGGTGATACATTTGGGGTGAGGTGGGGAGTCAAATACAAGGGTGCCTACAGAAACATTAATGCAGCCCTGATTGAAGTTGAGGGGGGTGAGTATTCCCATGGGTTTCTGGTCCAATTTAGCCCGGAAAACTGGGAATACTGTCTGGACCGCAGTCCAGACACCAGAAGTAGTGGGTTTTCAAGAAGGTGCAGATAAATCCACTATCAAATTAATTCACTACAAACCAGGGATTTCCTAGTTTGTGGCGGATCAATTCCCATTTGTCCAGGATGTTATCTGTACAGTCCCCTTTTTATTGCAGACGTTGCCCTTACATATGACTCCTAGTTACAAAAGGGGGTGAGACAACCAGAAGTGAAAGAGGCTAGGACACAGAATAATGGCTTCAAGCTACAGGAAAGGAGATTCCACCTGAACATGAGGTCAAACTTCTGTGAGAGCTGTTCAGCAGTGGAACTCTTTGCTCCGGAGTGGAGGCTTTTAAACAGAGGCTGAATGGCCGTCTGTCAAGAGTGCTTTGAATGCGATCTTCCCACTTCTTGACAGGGGGTTGGACTGGATGGCCCACGAGGTCCCTTCCAACTCTATGATCCTATGAAATCAACCCCTTACAAGGGAATCACTCCTGGAAGAGTTATCAGTAATTGGTTAAATGGACGAACCCAGAGGGTGCTCACCAATGCTTCCTCTTCATCTGGAAAGAAGTGACAAGTGGAGTGCCGCAGGGTTCCGTCCTGGGCCCGGTCCTGTTCAACATCTTTATTAATGACTTAGATGAAGGGTTAGAAGGTAGGATCATCAAGTTTGCAGATGACACCAAATTGGGAGGGATAGCCAATACTCCAGAGGACAGGAGCAGAATTCAAAACAATCTTGACAGATTAGAGAGATGGGCCAAAACTAACAAAATGAAGTTCAACAGGGACAAATGCAAGATACTCCACTTAGGCAGGAAAAATGAAATGCAAAGATACAGAATGGGGGACAATGCCTGGCTCGAGAGCAGTACGTGTGAAAAAGATCTTGGAGTCCTCATGGACAACATGTTAAACATGAGCCAACAATGTGATGTGGCGGCAAAAAAGCCAATGAGATTTTGGCTTGCATCAACAGGAGCATAGTGTCTAGATCTAGGGAAGTCTACCCCTCTATAGACCACACCTGGAATATTGTGTCCAATTCTGGGCACCACAATTCAAGAGAGATATTGACAAGCTGGAATGTGTCAGAGGAGGGCGACTAAAATGATCAAGGGTCTAGGAGAACAAGCCCTATGAGGAGTGGCTTAAGGAGCTGGGCATGTTTAGCATGAAGAAGAGAAGGCTGAGAGGAGATATGATAGCCATGTATAAATATGTGAGAGGAAGCCACAGGGAGGAGGGAGCAAGCTTGTTTTCTGCTTCCCTGGAGACTAGGACGCGAAATAATGGCTTCAAACTACAAGAAAGGACATTCCATCTGAACATGAGGAAGAACTTCCTGACTGTGAGAGCCGTTCAGCAGTGGAACTCTCTGCCCCGGAGTGTGGAAGCTCCTTCTTTGGAAGCTTTTAAACAGAGGCTGGATGGCCATCTGTCAGGGGTGATTTGAATGCAATATTCCTGCTTCTTGGCAGGGGGTTGGACTGGATGGCCCATGAGGTCTCTTCCAACTCTTTGATTCTATGATTCTATGATTCTATGGGGAAAAGGTGTCTCAATTGAAGCTTTATCATGAATCCTTGTTTCCACAGCAAACCAAATTTTCCAAAATACTGTACAATTAAATTTAAAATGACTAATATTTTAATTCAGATAATGAAGGGTATTTGTATCAAGTTTGGTCCAGATTCATTAAGTCATGCAAGAACCTTTGAAGTACAAATATACATGTTTTACATACATATTTTCACTCTTATTTATATAGATGATTCCACTTGAATGGATATGCTTTCAGCCTATGGAATCCTGGGAATGGTTATTCAGAGAGGCCTAGAGAGCTCTCTGACTGAGAATTCAGAATACTCCTCCCTAAACTACAAGTCCCAGAATCCCATATAGGTTTTCCAGAGCTCCAGTTTTCATGTGTCATCCCCAGGTGGGGGACAAAAGTACAAATTCTTCACTTGAGCTGAAGTCAGCTGTGAGCAAGAAGAAAGGATTGCTTGCAAATCTCCAGCTTCATTGAGTTGTTGCTGGAACTTACAAAGGCTCTCCAGAGTGTCTATGTCAAGAACAATCTCTGTATCCACAGGGGATACATTGCAAGATCTTCTTTCCTTCCCAATGATTGTAGTACCTGGATTCATCTTTCATTCTGCTCTACATTCATCTTCTAACTAAAAGCAAGTATGCTAGGTTAAAAGTTTCATACCTTATGTCACCAAGTAAGTGAGTAGAAACAATATTCCATATTTCATCTTGATCTGGGAACAGCTCTTCATTTCCTTGAAAAAATGTGTGTGTGTGTGTGTGTGTATGAATGACAAGTTGTGAGCAACTGTGGGTGGTAATCAATGCATAACTTGTAATGATATCAAAGAGGCCATCCCAAGGTCACAAGTTTTGACCAGGAAATCTCAGGACCTGGGATGGCCCTGAAGTTACTAGCTTGATTCAGTATCAACAGTGCTGCTAAGACACCAACAGCGCTGCTAAGAAAAAGATCTATGCCAGTGCAAGAGGTCTAAAGAAGGACCAGAGAAGCCAAGAACATCTGGTGGACAAAGAAGGCTGAAGAAATCCAACACTTTGCAGATACTCATGGTGTTCAGGGATTTTTTAAAGCTACAAAGGTCATATATGGACTAAGAAATCATGGCATATATCTGGAACCAAACTTCTGAAGGACCAAAAAAAATCAATCACGGTGCATTGGAAAGAGCACTACCAAAACCTCCTGAATTGTAGCTCCAATGTGGCCGAAGAGGTTCTCTTGCAAATCCCACAACAACAAACCAGGGATAGCGTGGAAGACCCCTGGTGTCTGATTTTTTTTTGCTAATTAAAGCAGACAAGATTGGGCTTCATTATTCATTTTACAGTCAAAAGCTGAGTGGATTGCTTGTAGAATCTCCCTTCAGCAGTGGCAATGGAAAAAAAATCCTCCACCACACAATTTGGAGATGGCAACATAAGCTGTGTATCTTGACTAGCTCTACCTTTAGAAGTGAGGGGGTAGTCAGTTTCAGCAGTATCATTGGGATCTCATGCTCCAATTGCCCAGCATTGCCATCTGAAATAATTGCCTCATTCAGCACTTGAAAGTTATCAGTCTTTAAAGTGCCACAAGAATTACTTGGAAATTTCGTGTCCTGTTAACTCAGATTGAGTAAATATGCT